AATCACCCCCCAGAGGGGATGGTCACGCCGCAATCCCTTCTCCTCCATTCTCCTCTCAGGATCTTGGGCACGCATGTACACGCACCTGGCGTGAGTTTTACGCCACCGGGTCTGGGACGCGAACCGCGGTCGACTATGTGGGAATCCAGCGACGTAGCCATTATGCTAACTGCTGGTTCTCAAATGAACATGTATTTTGATGTGACATATTTTAGATATAAAAAAAAATACATATTGCCATTTATATGTTCACCAGGTAACATAAAAAAATAAAGCTTTACAGATAGATAATCAAAGCACTATCCCTTTCCCATTTCTTTATCTTCTTCTTTAGGATATCAGTATTCTAAATTGGTGCCATTCCTATGCATTTCTATAAACTTTTATCATGTGTTCATTTTGTATATGCAGATAATGAGCAAACCACAGGCATCAGGTGCATATGTTCTTAACAAAGTTCCTGTTAAACATCGTCTTGGACATGCAAGTGGAAACCAGAGTGATGCATCACACTTATTGAATCAGTCTAGTGGGGCTGGAGAGGATTGCCAGGTATGCATTTTTGTTCGTTTGTTTTGTTTTTGAGGGGCTTTTGCTATAGGACAAGTGTGCTCACTAGAAAGACAGAGACAGAGAGACAGAAAGCAAGAAATCACTCCTCAGGGGGGATTGCCATGCCACAATCCCTTCTCCATTTTCCTCTCAGGATCTTGGGCATGCAAGCACATGCGTCAGGTGTAAGTTTAAGTCACCGGGTCTGGGACTCGAATTGTGGTTGACCACATGGCAGTCCAGTGACATAGCCATTACACCATCTGCTGGTCCTGCCACGTATGCATTTTGGTGACTATTAAAAATATTTAGAGTTGTTCATTGACACAAAGAAATTAGCAGATTGATTATCATCTAGATTTGTACTGACTGGACTTCTTTATTAAAGACAGTGACAGCCCCCATAAACATGACAAGTATATCTCCTTGATTTTCTTTCTTTTTATTTATTCATTTATTTTAATTTGTTATTATATACATTATTATCAGCAATTTTCCATTTTTGTGTCCATTAAGTGTTCCCCCCCTTACTTTCTCCCCCCATTGCTCACCCTTCTGCCTGCACTGTCTTTAGCTTACTGTTGTTATTACTTTTTTACATTTCAAGAGAAGCTGTTTTTAGCTTTAATGAATCAAAATCCAAAAAAGTTAAGAAAAATTTACTTCAGACTTAAAGCCAGGAAACAGGTTAGGATTCTGTCCAAATAGTAGATAGATACTAAAAACTCAAAAAACAAATATGGACAGAACTAAAATCTAGTAACAATGTACTATAGTTTTCTTCCGAAACATTTTTTTTTCTCTCTCCATTACGCTTTTACCAAAGAGAAGCATAAACTAACTTCTTTGCCAAAAAAAAAAAAAAAGTTTAATTTGGTCTGTTATTTGCACAAAGTCCAGTAAGAATACTAGTTGAACCTTTTGTAAGGAACTTCAGATTAGACCCTTTTAAAAAGCCGCCCAAAGCTACTGAGTCAAGTCAGGAATTCACCATCTGACTGTGCTTTTGAGTACCTGTACTTGGAAGTTTTCGGGCCTGTTCAGAAAGTGACATTCTTTACTTACCTGCCAGTAAGAACTGATTATGATACCAGGCTATCTCACTCTTCCTCTCTCTCACTCTATCTCTGTTAAGCACATACACTTTATGGCAAAAACCATAATTTTAATTTTTTTTTTTCCTTTCTGTTTTTTAAATGATACTGAGTTTGGTTATAAAGAACTAGTTTTTTTTTTTTTTTTTTTCTTGAGAGGTTTTGCTATAGGGCACCTGTGTGCACCAGAAAGAGAGAAAGACAGAGAAACAGAAAGTGAGAAATCATCCCCCCCCTGGGGGGGGGGATGGCCACACTGCAATCCCTTCTCCATTTTCCTCTCGGGATCTTAGGCATGTATGCACACGCGCCCAGCATGAGCTTAAGATACCGAGTCCGGGACTTGAACCGCAGTCAACTACATGGGAGTCCAGTGACATAGCCATTATGCCAACTGCTAGTCCCAAAAAACTAGTTTTTTTTTTGTTTTTTTTTACACGAGTTTTTTGCTATAGGGCGCGTGCGCTCGCCAGACAGACAGAGAGACAGAAAGCGAGAAATCACCCCCCAGGGGGAATGGCCACGCTACAATCCCTTCTCCTCCGTTCTCCTCTCGGGATCTTGGGCACGCACGCACACGCGCCCGGTGTGAGTTTTTAAGCTACCGGGTCCGGGACGCGAACTTCGGTTGACTATGTGGGGGTCCAGCGACATAGCCATTACGCTAACTGCTGGTCCCCCATAAAAGTAGTTTTTATAAATGAAGTTTTGTTTAATTTTCTGGTGGGTACATGTACTCGTCAAAGAGAGAAAAAAAAGTGAGAAAGTATCCTCCATTGGATGCAGTCATCCCACACTCCCTTTTCCTTCATTCCTCTCTGTTTTCAGTATTTCAAGCTCACATGCACACGTACCCAGTGTGTTCCTAAAGCCACTTGTTTCAGAACTTGAACTGCACGGTGTGCCATGTAGAATCCAGCTGCCTTACCACTGTGTCATCTGCTGGCCTTATAAATGAAGTTTTAATCAATTAACTTTTTAAAAAGAGTAAAAATTTGATACAGTCTTAATAAAAAATTATTTTAAGCATTTCTAAATTTAGTCTTATGTATGTATGTTTTGTTTTCATTTTAGATATTTTCAACTCCAAGTCATCCAAAAATGATTTACAGCTCCTCAAACTTAAAGGCATCTTCAAAACTTTGTTCAGGATCTAAATCTCATGAAGTTCAAGAAGCTCTTAAAAAAAAACAGGTAATAGTTTTGATTCTTCTTACTAAGGAAAGGACCTATTGAACTATTTTGTTGTTTTTTAATTTCATTTTCTTTTATATATTCAATCACATTATATAGCTTACAAAGTGAATATTCCAACTTGTGAACATTTCTCCCTTGTCTAGTTGATAAAACTATAAAATTATCTTCACCAGATAATACCACATTTCTTTGTCCCACTTATCAGCAGGTACCCGCACTCATTTTCTAGAGAGAGGCAGAAACGGGGTTGATGGGAGGGATGGAAAAGGGGGGGGGGGGGGAGTACCCTCCAGGGGGCGTGTTACTGTCCCTTTCTTCCATTTCTCCCTCCTTTTGGATTTTGTTCATGTTTGTCTAGGGACCAGTGTGTTTCTCACGCTGCAGGATTGAGGACTCCAATCATGCAGCCGGCCGTGTGAGATCTAGATGTCTTAACCACCAGGCTACAAGATGGTCCCTGGAATGCTTATTTAGCTCTTTATATAATAAACACTTAGGGTAAAAAAGATAAACAAAAAAATGTTCCACAGTTATCTTTCATTGGTTAAATAAGACAAGAATGGGCCAGCAGATGGCACGGTAGTTGAGATGTTGTACTCCCACATGGCCAACTGAAGTTCAAGCCCTGCACCTGGTGACTTTTTTTCTTGCTTTCCCCCCCATCTCTCTCACTCTCTGGTGAGCATGCATGCCCTATAGCAAATTTTAAAAAATAACAATAATATGAAATAAAATTAAATAATTCTTTAGAGAAATAGAAAAAAAGAAAGACAAGGAAAAATTCTTTGCTGGTTCTTTTTTCCTTTTTTTTTTTTCTTTTTCTTTACACTTTTACCATAGGATACATGCACTGCTTGGGGAGAGGGGGCTTGGTGAGAGAGAGAAAGTGAGAAATCACCCCCAGGGGGATGGCCATGCCATAAACTACATTTTCCTTTCAGAATTTTGGGCACACACTCACATGTGTCTGGTGTGTTTTATAGGCTGCTAGGTCCAGGACTCTGTGAAGTTGGACATGTGGGATCCAGCACGTTAAGCACCACACCCCCGAGAGAGAGAAACAGACACTTTTATTTCACTGTTTTTTTCTTTTTTAAATTATTTTTTGTTTTGTAAGTTAGATAATATTTCACATAAAATATAACATTTATGTAATTATTATTCATATGATTTACTTCTGAGTTTCATTTTCATCTGAGATTTAAGAACATACAGGTGTTTTTCAAATAAAATTTTTATTTATGAGTAAATTAAAGATTTAGGTAATAGTATGGGAGACAAAATTTTCTTAGCAAAAATAAATAGATTTTCTCTCATTCGTTACCTAGAACTACATCTCACATTTTCATATTTAAACTTCAAAAAACAAGGATTTGCCTTATCCGCTGGCAAGTGAGAACAGTTCTTATTTGTGTTCATGAAGATGTTCGAGTCATTCAGGTCAATAAAGTCATTCAGGTCATTCATAGAGCTAATTAGTGTCCAGTATTTACAGGTTTTTTTAGTGTACAAATGTAAACTCTATTATTATTATTGATACTTATATTTTCCTTGATACTTGATAGAAATATTGATAGAATATTTTCAAAGGTTTCATGTCTGGTTTTAGCTATTATTTGATTAGGAGGAAAATCTATCTTATCTAAAGATGACCCAGAAGAAGTGAGTTGAGAATACAATAGCATTATGTGTCATTGGCAACTTTTGTTTTTTATTACTAATTTTTCTTTGCCCTTGTGCAGGAAGCAATGAAACTACAACAAGATATGAGGAAAAAGAGGCAAGAAGTGTTAGAAAAGCAAATTGAATGTCAAAAGGTAAGATGGGTCATTATTTGCATACTAGAATTCATGTATAGAACTGATTTTACAAAGTTAACCATAATAGTGAAGTTTTTAAGTCTTCTTTACCTTGAAGTTTACCAAGTTTACATTAACTTTCTTCCTGCTTATCTTGTAGATGCTAATATCTAAGCTAGAAAAAAACAAAAATATGAAACCAGAAGAAAGAGCAAATATAATGAAGACTTTGAAAGAGCTTGGAGAAAAGATCTCACAATTAAAAGATGAACTAAAAACATCTTCTGCAGTGTCCACACCCTCTAAAGTAAAGACAAAAACAGAGGTATCTACTTGCATTTTTTAATTTATCATAGAGTTGTTGAATATCTGCCATTAGCTTGGCCCTTCAAAACTAATTTGAGCCCTTAAGAAACTGTAAGAAATGGGGAGATAAGACTAGTAATTGTAATTTTTTACTGTCTCTGTAGACACTCTATTTGAGATTTCAGAAGAGGTGGTAATACCCTGTTGAACAAAGATAGAGTTTTTAGGTGAAATGTTTTGTTGTTTGTGCTGAAAGTGGAACTACTAGTGTGATAGGGAAGGAAGAAATAATGGATCCTTATGAAAGTCATGACATATTTTTTGCTTAGAAAAATATGTCATGACTTTTGCAGCAACCTAATATTTTCTATTTCAGCAGATTTTTTCTTTTTTTGAGATATTTTTGCTGTAGGGTGCATGTGCTCGGTGGAGAGACAGAGAGAGGCACAGAGACAGAAAGTGAGAGATCACCACCTAGGGGGTATGGCCATGCCACAGTCTCTTCTCTTCCATTCTCCTCTCGGGGTTTTGGGCACACATTCACACGCACCCAGCGTGAGTTCTAAGCTGCCCGGTCAGGGATTTGAACTGTAGTTGACTAAGTGGGAGTTCAGCAATGTAACCATTACACCATCTGCTGGTCACAGATTTATTTCTTTTCTCTTTTTTGGAGGTGGGGAGGGAAGAGTGAAAACAAGTTTATTTACTAAAGAAAGGATATAAAGAGGATGACTCTATAGGTGGAGCGGCCCTTTGAGGGGAGATGGGCGAACAGGTTAGTTCCTTCCTCTGAGAGGAGGGTGAGAACTGTTTTCTGAGAGGGAAGACGGAAGGGCCATCTCATAGGCAGGGCAGCCCCGAGCAGTTTTATTTCTAATGTGATAATATGTCAGAACAAAACCTTCTCTCACAGTCAGAGAATTCCACTAACCTTAATATAGTAAAAGTATAGTATAATTATGAAAAGAATAAGGTGAAGTGTTTTTTGGGGTTTTTTTTTGGTGGGGTTTTTTGTTTGGAGAGGTTTTTGCTATAGGGTATGTGCACTCTCCAGAAACACAGAAAGAGACAGACAGAAGTTGAGAAATTACCCCCCAGGGGGGATGGCCATGCCACAGTCCCTTCTCCATTCTCCTTCTGGGATCTTGGGCATGCACGCACATGCGCCTGGCGTGAGTTTAAGCCACTGGGTCCACAACACGAACCACAGTCGGCCACATGGGAGTCCAGTGACATAGCCATTATGCCAACTGCTGGTCCCATGGTGAAGTTTTAGATCCATTTCAATCTAATTTTATTTCTATTTTCTTACTTAGGAGAATACTTTTCACAATGTTTCTATTACACCACAGCTTTGTAGTAGTGTTTTAGAGAATATTTTGCCATTTGAGACCTGAGAATAAATTTATTATATACATAGAAATCAACTTATTATGTACATTATTATATTTTAAATTGTGGTTCTCTATTGGCATAGGAATATATAGTGTTTCATTAAGGTGGCTTTTTTTTTTTTTCCACTATAGGATGTGTGCACTCACTGGAGAAAGAGAAACATCTTCCCCACAGTCCTTTCTCTTCCATTCTCCTCTTGTGATTTTGTGCATGCTTGAATTCATGCCCAAAGTGATTTTCAAGCCACCAGGTCCCGGACTCAAACCGCAGAATAGGCCATATGGGATCCAGCAGCCTTAACCTCCACATCACCAGCTGGCCCAAGATTGCTTTTAAAAAATACAATAAAGGTGTTATCAGTATTCAAAATTTTCCTAATTATAGGAAGAACATGTGCACATTTTAAAAATTAAAGAATACAGGGGCTAGCAGGTGGTGTGGTGGCTAAGACTCTGGACTCCCACATGGTCAGCTATGGTTCAAGTCCCAAACCCAGTGGCTTGAAAATCATGTCAGGCATATGTACATGCATGCCCAGTAGAGAAGGGATTGTGGTGTGGCCATCCCCCATGGGGAGTGATTTCTCATTTTCCCTCTCTCTTTCTCTGGAGAGTGGATGCACCCTATTGACAAAACCCTTAAATAAATAAATAAAATTAAGATAAAGAGTACACGAGAGGACTGAGACCAGCAGTTGGCATAATGGCTATGTCGCTGGACTCCCACGTAGTCTACTGGGGTCTAAGTCACGGACTTGGTGGCTTAAACTCATGCCGGGCGTGTGTTCGTGTGTGCGTGTGTGCTCAAGATCCCGAGAGGAGAATGTAGAAGGGATTGTGGCATGGCCATCCCCCCAGGGAGCGATTTCTCACTTTCTCTCTCTGTGTGTGTCTCTTGTCTGTCTGGCAAGTGCATGCATCCTATAGCCAAACCCTCTTCCCCTCAAAAAAAAAGGAGTACATGAGAGGGGAAAAAAATCTCTCACAGTCATGTCACCTAAAGACTGATAATTTGTCTCTTACAAAAAAAGAGAGTGACAATAGTTAAAGGGTTCAAATATGAAAGTAATTATGTAACTATTACCTTTGTACTACTAAGTTTTCACTATATAAGTTATTTTTCCTCATTTTGGTTATGATACTTTATTATGTAAAAATTCTCAGCTCTTAACTCAGGTGATTATTCAGGGTATGTTTTTTTTTGGGGGGGGGGACATTGTATGCAGTGATACTGCTTATTATTTTTCACTGATGTAATTATATTCTAGTATTGCCTTTTTTTTTTTTTTTGAGAGGTTTTTGCTATAGGGCGCATGCGCTCGCCAGACAGAGAGAGACAGAGAGACAGACAGCGAGAAATCACCCCCCAGGGGCGATGACCACGCCACAATCCCTTCTCTTCCATTCTCCTCTCGGGATCTTGGGCACATACACACACGCGCCCGGTGTGAGTTTTAAGCCACCGGGTCCGGGACATGAACTGCAGTCGACTACATGGGACTCCAGTGACAGAGCCATTACACTAACTGCTAGTCCCTAGTATTGCCTTTATATTGTATGTTTGTTTTTATTGTATTTGTAAGTTACATCCCTTAAAGTACCCATGTGTACTACATCTTCTTATTTTTCCAAAAGAAATGTGTGTTGTTGTCTAACTATGTTGTTAATAAGACTTTGGAAGTTATCTAAAAAATGTTTTTTTACTCTTGCTTTTTCAAAGGCCCAGAAGGAGTTATTAGATACTGAACTGGACCTCCACAAGAGGCTATCCTCAGGAGAAGATACAACGGAATTACGGAAAAAACTCAGTCAGTTACAGGTTGAGGTGAGATTTAAAAGGAGTTACCAGTCCACCACCACATTTACTGATAACATTTTAAAAAATAGTTTTCTTTTCCTCTGTTTTTCAGGGTTTAGTCTTAACAGTACACATTACCTTCTACCTTTCGTTGTTGTTATTCAGGCTGCACGATTAGGTATTTTACCTGTGGGTCGAGGAAAGGCCATGTCCTCTCAAGGTCGAGGAAGAGGCCGAGGCCGTGGAGGAAGAGGAAGGGGCTCACTAAATCACATGGTGGTGGACCACCGCCCCAAGGCACTAACAGTTGGGGGATTCATTGAGGAAGAAAAAGATGAATTACTTCAGCATTTCTCAGTAAGTTTGAAAAGTAGCAAATGTTCTTAAAACACTGTATTCAGCATTTTCTTTGCTGCAATCTATATAAATGTCAAATGTTTTATAGATTAGAAAATTTAGTTGTAAAACTATGGGTATTAGCAAATTCTTATTAATATATTTGAAGGTCAAGAAGCAGCTCTCGCTTTGTAATTTCATAATGCTCACATAAATGCATTTGTAGCGACAAGTTGTTCCACAGCTATATTTGATTTTTGCTTCAGGATTGCCTGTGGTTTACCAGGTATTTGTACTCCTTAAGTGGAAATAATCTAGGATGGAGATAAAATTCATAGAAAGAATTTGGTAGGATTTCAGACATCCATAGTTATATTCTATATGCAGTGGTGACCATTTTTAGGTATATGTACAAATAGAGAGATGTCTGTATTATTTTGGACATATACAGAGTACATTCTCTTTCCAACCACTTATTAATTCATTTAGTAGAATTTATTGAGCACTATTTGTGCTAGCGTATTTCTAAACATGATCCCATTTCATCTTAAATAACTATATAAATAACATGTGAAACTGTATACATGGGAAATTTTATGTGTAAACCAAAACTTAAAATACCAGTCAAGATCATCTAGTTAGTAAGTGGCAGAACCACGGTAATCAGATTTCCTGTTCTTCAGCATTTTTAGTTATATTGTGCTTTCATGCACACAGAAGAGATAGAAAAGAACCATGAGTCCCCTTCCACCCCCAAGTGGGGCATGGTCATCTTGCAAATCTTCTGTCTTCCATTCTTCCTTCCCATCAGGATTTTGAGCCCGCACATTCACATGCCTAGTATGTTTTTTCAAGCTGCCAAAGTCAGGATTCAAACCATGATTGGTTATGTGGGATCCAAGTCCCAGTGCACAGTTCTTAACCACTATGCCACAGGGTAGGCCCTACTTAACTTTTTTGAGAGAAAATATTTTCAGCTTTGTTAACTGATAGAAAAGTTAAAGGAAATAATAAAGACCAAGGCTTCACTTCCCAAGTTTTTTTTGTTTTTTTCCTGAGAAGTTTTTGCTATAGGGTGCGTGAGCTCGCCAGAAAGACACAGAGAGACAGAAAGTGAGAAATCACCCCTTGGGGGGATGGCCACGCCGCAATCCCTTTTCCTCCGTTCTCCTATTGGGATCTTGGGCACGCATGCACATGTGTCCGGCGTGAGTTTAAGCCACTGGGTCCGGGACTTGAACCTAGGTTGGCTACATGGAGTCCAGGGACATAACCATTATACTAACTGCTGGTTCCATTATTAGTTTAATGCTCATTATTCCTGTTTCTCTTGACTCTTGGGGAATGGTGGGCCATTACAAAGATTGTCCAGATTAGAGGTTAGCTGTGGCTAGTTCACTCTTGGCCCAGTTCTTTCAGTGGTGTTACCCTTATTTTCTTTCAGTAAATGGTAGAATCGCTTCATGTCACTTCTTTGAGAAATAATGATGACATAAGAATGAGAGCAGGACAGGTCCAGGTGGTTCTTATGAAGGGTGTGAGGATATTGATTTTTGTCTTTGATATTGAATATATAAAATTAAAATATCTTTGCCAAGTCAAGTTAGGTATTTAGACTCAATACCAGCTTTAATGAGGTGACACTGGATTAAGAATGAGAGTAGTACAGGTCCAGGTGGTTCTTATGAAGGGTGTGAGGATATTGATTTTTGTCTTTGATATTGAATATATAAAATTAAAATATCCTTGCCAAGTTAAGTTAGGTATTTAGACCCAATACCAACTTTAATGAGGTGACAGTGGATTATGTAAAGCAAAATTTTTATAAATTGGAGTCTTTGCATTAAGTTCCAGTTACAAGGTCAGCAGAGGTGGCATGCCAGTTAAGGTGCTGGATTCCCACATGGTCAGCCAAGGTTGAAGTCCTAGACCCACTGATTTGAAAATCACAACAAATAAGTAGATAAATAAATAAACTTTTTTTTTTTTTTTTAAGAAAGTTCCAGTTACAAAAAGGTAGTTTGTAGTTTGGTTAGGCAAGAAATTGTGTGTTCTAACCTGAGGGTCACTGGAGACTATATGTCAATGTTTAGGTTTAAATCCAGAAGTCACACTCAGATGGATCACTTTTTCTTCTCAAAAGTAGAACTATTCTAGAGCATTTAATGGTAACCAGTTTTTGTGTATATATATTTGATAAGTCTGAAATGTGACATTTAGGTGACAGATACAGGTGTGTCCAAACTGTTGGGAAAAGAGGAAAAGAAAAGCTAAGGAATTAAGTCAGGTAACTTCAAGAAAAAAAACATGGCCATTGATTCTGATGGCTTTGTTTGTTTTAATAGAATACTGTCAGTTTTGAGTTCTGGTAGCACACTTACCCTATTTAATAGCTGTTAGGCAATATATTGGGTCATCGGAAAGTCATGATGCATTTTTGTATAGAAAAACATCATGAGTTTCCCGATGACCTAATAGTATGCTTTTTTTAGAATGAAACGCAAAAGTACAGACGTAGCTACTATGTGCAGCTGCTGGTACCACCACTGGGAAGACTGGAAGCCACATAGGAGGCACAGGTTCAGTTTTCAGGCCAATCTGACCCTGCCAGGTGCAATTGCACATGTCTGTCATCCTAAGTAATTGTGAGACCAGGAGGAGCAGTATCACTCTATGAGACCCAGTCAAAAATACCTAAGTCTCTTTTCCCGCTCTCTCGTAAAGGAAAAGAAGTATACAGAAATCCATGTTTAGACATTGTGAACAGATTTGATTTGGGAGACTTAAAAGAGAACTATTTATTCATTCATTCATTCATTCATTCAAGTTTTTATTATAAGGGCACATGTGCTTGCCCAGAAGACAGAGACTGAAAGAGAGAAAGCGAGAAACCACCCCACGGAAGTGGAGGCATACTGCAGTCCTTTCGCCTCTATTCTCTTTGAGGGATCTTGGGCGCACATGCACACGTACCCAGCGTGAATTTTAAGTGACTGAGTCCAGAACTCAACTGTGATCGTCTGTGGCAGTCCAGCAGCGTAACATAAAACCATTATGCCGTCTGCTGGTCCCAGAGGATTTTTTTTTTTTTTTACATTTAATTCCATGTGTTATTATAGCTTTTAAGAATTATTTTATTGAACTTTATTTATTTATTCATTTATTTTAATTTAACTAGAGAAGGACAGAGTGAGAGAGAGGAAGAAAGTGAGAAAGCAAGTCACCAGGTCTGGGACTTGAACCGCGGTCAGCCATGTGGGAATCCAGCGTCCCCAAGGGGGAATGGCCATACCACAATCCATTCTCCTCTTGATACTTGGGCACACATGGACATCCATCCAGTGTGCTTTCTAATCCACCAGGTCTGGGACTTGAACAGCAGAGTCAGCCATGTGGGATCCAGCCACCTTAACAACACCATGCTTCCAGCTGGCCCATGGTAACACTTTTAATAATGAAAATGGAAACCATCTAACTGTTCAACAGAGGCCGCCAGCTCTGTGGCACAATGGAGATATGCTGCTCAAGAGAAGCTAGATCAGATCCCGTGTGACAGTCATGGTTCAAATCCCTTCCTTGGTCAACCTGAAACACTGGGCAAGCACGCAAGTACCTAAGATCTAATAGGCTAGAGGACTGGAGGAGGGTGACTACCATGTGGCCAGGCCCTGTGGATGGTGCTCATCTCTGTTTCTCTCACTTGCACATATGTATATAGGTGCTCCATCACAAAGAAAAAAAAATTTAAGGTGTTCAATGATGCTTTGCTGCCTTTAAAAACATGTTTTAAATGAGAACATTCTCAGAGTTACCCGTTAGGTTATAAGAATATACATAAACTTGGAATGAAAGTGCATTAAATTATTTTGCTCCCAGTTCTTGTAGCATGTGCTGTCTAGCAGTGCAAATCTTCAGTCTGAGGCCACATAAAAGGCTGAGGTTCATTCCTTGCTCACCCTAAAATAAGCCAGCATGGTGGCACCTACCTTTAGTATCAGCCACTCAGGAGGCTGATGTAGGAGGGGTGTGAATTTGTGGCTAGTGTGGACAACAGCTCCTGAGACCTATTGTTGGCCCAGGTCATAAAATAATTGAACTTCTAGTGTGTGTGTGTGTGTGTGTGTGTGTGTGTGTGTGTGTGTGTTCCAACTCAGAAATTCACACATCACTGGCAAGAATCTAAACTAATTCTAGGGCTAGCCAGATGGCGTGGGAGTTAAGGCGTTTTTCATATATCTTCTTCAAGTAACTGTATTGTTTGTTATCTTTTATGGTAGCACATTATATATAACACTCTTGCATATGCATTTTTCACTTAATATATATTAGATTGTTCTTAGAGGTTGTTTAGTACTAGTGTATGTGGTGTTGCTTCATCTTTTTAATGGCAGCATGGTATTTTATTGCATAAATGTACTATGCTACATTTTAGGGGTTCTATATTGATGGACATTTAATTTTTCCCCAGTAGTTTATTATTTTGAGCCTTATATAGATATATGTATGAGAAAACATACATGAACATGTAGAAAAGTTAGATAATTTTAATAGATATGGGACATTTTAAGAAGTCCATCAATTTTTGCTATAGGGCACATGTGCCGGATAGAGAGAGAAAGTAGGAAATCACCCGAAGGGGATTAACATGCCACAGTCCTTTCTCCTCTAATCCCCTCCTTGGGATTTTGGGCACACACATACACATGCCCAGCATGATTTTTAAAGTTCTAGGTCCAGGATTCAAACCACACTTAACCATGTGGCAGTCCAGTGCCTTGACCACCACGCTACCTGGCAGCTCTAGAATCAGTTTAGATTATCACCAGTCCTATGTACATCTTTATTCTAATTACTAATCTTACTGGTTTGTTATAAGTTAAATAGTGGTAATTATTTGTTTTTAGTCCCAGATTTAGCATTCAAATTGATTGCTAGTTCTTTCATCATATGCAATAATACACTTAATACCTTAAAGTTCCTATTGGAATAAAGAATTGCTACCATCTTTTTTTTCTTTTTTTTTTTTTTTGAGAGATTTTCACTGTAGGGCGCGTGTGCTCGCCAGACAGACCAAGAGGGACATAGAGACAGAAAGCAAGAAATCATCCCCCAGGGGGGATGGTCACGCCGCAATCCCTTCTCCTCCATTCTCCTCTCGGGATCTTGGGCATGCACGCACACGCGCCCGGTGTGAGTTTTAAGCCACCGGGTCCGGGACACGAACTGCGGTCGACTATGTGGGAGTCCAGCAACATAGCCATTACGCTAACTGCTGGTTCCCAGAATTGCTACCATCTTTGATGGGCAGTTGTTTATTTAAAATTGAAATTTTGGGGCCAGCAGATGGTATGGTGGTGAAGGCACTGGATTCCCACTTGGTTGACCATGGTTCGGGTCCTGGACATGGCAGCTCAAAAATTATAAAAGATAGATAGATAAATATATTTACTTTAAATTAAAAATATTAATTGCTTCTTTTTTCTAAAAGTAATATATTTTATTTAAAATTTAAGTATACATATGACGAACAAAAAATAACGAAAGCCTCTCTATAATTGGAGCATGCATTGAAAAATAGAGTAAGAGCAAAAGATATCTCATACATATTACCTGATTTTTAAGGGATGGTAAATATGTATTCAGATAGGACCATTTTGACGTATCAGTTGGTATGTGTCCTCAGTCACAATATTTTGTGTTAGGTTATAAGCATTCAATCCCACAAGCACTGATGGGAGCGCTTTTCTTAGATCATTGAATTGATACGGGTCTGGCCTAATGTACACTCTTACTGCGCATGCTCCACCTGTTATGTGTAATCATTTGACAGTGCTTCACGAGGTTTATCATGATTTTTTTTTTTTTTTTAGATAAGCTAGAGTGAAACCCCAAATAAAAAAGAACTCCAGCTATTATGTTTTTGAACTTCACCCAGTAAGAGAATACTCTACAATTCACCACCCAAGATAGGAAAACCTATAGGGATCACTAAGCTCTTGTTTTTATGAAGAGTTGGATTCCTATTCTTTTGTGCCTGTCACATTGTCTAAAATTAAACTTTTACTTTCTATTATTGAAACTGGCTGGGGGAGAAAAAGAAGCTTAGAAAGTAGTACCAATAAATATATTCAAAACAACTTTTTGACCTTGACTTAGGATAGGAAGTCTTAACCTTTATTGAATGCATAGGTAAGCGGGGAATATGCATCACTTGTGCAGCATTTCAGAAGAGGAAGTGGAGAGAACGTTACCAAATAGAAGTGCTAGGAGATGTGGTGAGATGAACAGACCCAGGATGATTCTCTTATTTAAAATTTATGTATTTAAAGGTTCTACATCTTAATGTGTAGATACCAAAGCTAAAGGTCAATGATTGTATTAAGAAAAGTGTATTGGGGCCAGCAGGTAGCTTGGTGGTTGGAGTGCTGGACTCCCACATGATCACCTACAGTTCAAGTCCTGGATCTGGAAGCTTGCTTTTTCACTTTCTCTCTCTCTCTCTGTCTCTGATCAAATAAGATAAAAAAAATGATCATGAATAAAATTGAATAATACTTTAAAAAATAAAAGAGTACTCAATGTCCTCATCATTACTTTTGTAAATAGAATGACTGTATATTACCCCAGCCAAAGCAGATGTTAAAATTTACCTGACTTGAATAGAAACTACACTGCTCTAGGAAGCCAGAACATGTAGTTACTCCAACGAAAAGGATCTTTATTATTTTCTTGCCCTCATTGGAGATTACTTGTAGATCCACCTTAGTCAGTTTCCCCCCACATTATTAAATGTTTTAAATAGCACAGAATTTAAAGAAATTACTAGTAAATTTGAGTGCAAACTTATGTGTTCTTCCAAAATATATTTTAGGCTGCAAACCAAGGGTCAAAATTTAAAGACCGTCGGCTACAAATATCATGGCACAAGCCCAAGGTACCGTCTATATCCACTGAGACTGAGGAAGAAGAAGCCAAGGAAGAGGTAAATTTAATGATTGAAAATAAGAGTCACATTAGATCACTTCCCAATTATACATTTTTGTTGACACTAAATAGAGTAAACCAAAAAATAAATAATGGATTTTTCTCCCCTTGCATGTACTTATGTAGAACCAGTGTTTAAAGCAGATACAGAGATACAAAACACTCTTTTAGGGGTTATTTTGTTTTGGTGTAGGAGAAAGAGTTTTTTACTTTGTTAGAGTGAGCCCTTCGCCTGCATTGTAGATTTTTCCTCATTTGTCATAATCTTGGTTTTAAAAGATGCCTAGAATTTGCAATTGATCAAGTGTCTTCTGCCTATATAGATAACCTCATATAATAAAAACTGAAATGTCCCCTATATTAAAGAAAAACAAAAGTGTTGGTAGTCTGGTAATATTTGTAGATACTTCCACTTTGTGTATGATTTTAGACTTTTATATAAAATTGGGAATGTTAGTGTCATAGAAAAGTTAGCTATTCATACCTCACAAATAATTGGGTGAATTTAAAAGGAAAGATTGCGGGAGGTTGTTTGTGTGTTTTTGGATTTAGGAGTTTAAGTGGTCTTTGTTTTTCCTCTCATTTTTAAATTGAATAAGTGTCATTCTCATTAATTTGTCAGAAACATATCTCATAGACTTTCTCTTTTATTTCCCCTACTGAATGTCCACACATTATTAACTTTATTTTTCTGATTATATTGGAATAGAAATCAGCAAATTTAACAGGGAAGAATAGTTTGTTTCCATTAAAAAAGTGCTTTGAATTTTTTTGCCCTGAAAGGTACTCTGCACCACTTCTCATTTCAGACTGGGCTTTGTATACTAGTCTATCTGTCCTTTCACCTAAAAAGTATTTTACTTAATGTTCTTATACCAATAAGCAGATTTTACCTACCCTCTCTTTCTTTCAGGAAACAGAAACTTCAGATTTGTTTCTACATGATGATGATGATGAAGATGAAGATGAATATGAGTCTCGTTCATGGCGAAGATGAAACCTGATGCAAGCTGTATAATTTTTAGGAATATTGTTTAGAAGAACAACTTTTTAAAATTATTTAAAGAAGTCAATGAGCCAAAAAAATTTTTTATTTTTCTTTTCAACACAGTAGGTTTAAGGACAGCAAGTTTGCTATTTAAACACATCTCATAACTGTACATGATATTAAAGCACCAAAGGCCTAGTGACTTTTACATAGTTGTGAAGATCCACGGGAATGATATGGATTATCTCTAGAGCCTTATTTCCACACCATCTGTTTTTGTTGCTATTGGTGTTGGATTATGATGTAAATGACAGGGTGTTCAGAAATTTTATTTTGGATTATAATCTGCTGATAAAAATTTCATTAAATGTCTAAATCACCTGGAATCTCTTAACTCTCAGCTATTATGGATGGGTCGTCAGACAATAGGAGATATTTGTAATTAAAATACCCTTTTGCTTTCAAGAATTGTCTTGGAAGATAAGTAGATTTATTTTAGTGTGTTTTTTGTTTTGTTTTGTTTTTGTTTTTGTTTTTGTTTTGCTGTGGAAGAGCCTAATTTTTATTCAATCTAAACATTTTTTCAGAGTTTTTATGTATAGTAGTACTATTACAGTGAAATCACAGCAATTCTGTGTTCGTAAATACTATAAGCTAGCTCTGTGTTATTTTCATTCTCTCATCATATAACTCCTGGGCTTTTCCTGCTATTGATCCTTGGTTTGCTTTGGTACTTGGTGAGCATTGGTTCAGTTGGTCCTCCCCCCCCACCCCGCAAACATTCTCAAAATGTGGAAGACTTTCACCTGTTGCCCCTTTTTTGTTCCACTTTTTTTCCTCTTGTCTTTTTATTTAAAGACCTGACTACCCATTATTGAGATAAGTGATTCATTTAGGCCACCAACAATCTGTTCTTAATAAAAAGTTTAAACTAGCATCTTGATAAATAAGTGATGTTTTGATGAGAATAATAGATATTGGTGGGGAGAGAATCACCAGCTTTTTTTTTTTTCTTCCCTCTTTTAAAACTTCAGGTTAGTTATAGTTACACAGAAGGGTTTAAAAAGGTGTGAAATTCTTTTTCTAAATTTAAACCATGGTGGTGAGGTGACTGGGGGTAGGATGGGGTGGGAATAGGGATGGGTTAAGGGGTTGGGTATGCTAATAAATGGGAGTCATAACTTGACTTTGATCAGATGACCTTATATTTTCATAATTTTGTAGCTTGTTGCTATCCATGAACATATGCATCCTTCAGTAGACAGTTTACTTTACTGTGTGCATTTTTACTGTACACTGTATAGAATAGAGTATCTGTTAAGTAAATATATATGTAAATTTATGTCCTTGTGTTCTCAATGTTAGATGGAAAAGCAGAGGAGCAACACTACACTGTATGACCCCTGGGGAAATAAAATGATTCATGTACATAGGATGTCACTTTTTTAAGGATATGCACATCCATGTTTTTATATATGTGTGGTGTGAAAATTTGAAACTTCCTGTTGGGTTCAGAAGGTTCTTAGTGATCATTATTCCAAGGATTTTATTTCCTGAGGTAAAGACAGTTTCTCAAAATAGAAACTATTCACTAAGAAACTTAAAACCATCAGGATTCCAGATTCACTTAGCTACCAGTAGTTAAATCCCAAGTTCTGATCATCTTTCTCGTCTACATATTTTCCTGGAATGATGTGTCAAACCAGGACTATTTTTTAAGTTGATGTAATTTTCCCTTCATAATCATAAGGACTTCCTCTTTTAGGTTATTATATTTCTTATAACACTGAAGCTAAAATAAGCTTATAAAAGAAGGAAAACATTAGAACTGGGTACCTAGAATAAGCAATCTTGCTCCTTACTCCTCCATCATCTCTAATGAAATTTTCTTGATGTCTGTGGCTCAGTCAGTATATATTTTGAAAGATTCATTGTGGTGAATATTTTGAGTCCTGACAGTTTAAACGTGATAGAGGGAACAAAGGATTTATATATTTTTTGTACAAAGTTTTTTCTTAAACTGTATAATTTTGTAAATAGTTTGTTTGGGTTTTTTTTCTTTTGTGTACTAAAACTACCAGCGTATAGATTTCAATAAGAATTGTTGTATTTTTGTATTTGGAAACTGAAAATTACAGTAAATTAATGGAGCTGTAAGAAAATTTTCAGTAGACTGACAGTTTAGCAGAATGAGATTCCTTTTCATATGATTTTTTTAACCTCAAATTGACAAATTGAGGATTTGTTTGACTTTTTAATTATTAGGGGTAGGGAGATGTAAGAGAAGAGTGTAAAAGTGAAGAGCAGATAGGTTTTTGAGTAAGATTTAAAGGCCTTTGTATGAAACTTGGTTTTCAGTATACCTTAAATAGGACCAAAATACTTTAAAAGTTCCCTTTCTCAGAATTCTAAAACATGCTTGATTATCAAAAATGAATTTAAAATATGAGTTATAGTATTAGAAAACTTAAGGTTTCATAAAATAGGTGAATATATATATATATTTGATAGATATATATATATTTCCCCACTCTGGGATTTTTTTTTTTTAACCCCTACCTTCAAATCCCCAACTGTTAGAATCTCTCTTAAAAGTGAATAATTACTGTGATTTGTTTTATTGGCATCTTCATTTTTAGAAATAACATAGCCTCTGAGACAAATTCGTTTGTTCATAATGTGTATGACATCTCTAAGTAGCTGGTCAGCAATAACAGCCACCAGGCTGGTGAGGTCAGCTTGATTTATTAGTGGATTACTGCCCATGCTTAAACAGGTAACCTCCAGGAATGCAAAATCTCCTTCAGTTTCGTCATGTAACATTGGGACAGTATTGTCACCAGTTAAGATGATAAATTGGAAAAGAGTCCTATTAAGGTGAGAAGGGTCCATGGCAATGGATCATCATTTCAAAAAAGAAGGAAAAAAATGATGTGAAAAGGAATAGTGGTTCCTCTTGATGTATAGTATGCCTGTATTATAGTTTTTACAAAATTGTGAACTTGTGTAATAGTATAATAGGAGATATTGTTGAATTTCTAACTGTTTATACATTTAAATTCATATATGTATTGTTTGTTTTATTGATTACAATCTGAATTTCTAAGACGCATGTTGACTTTTGCAATAAAGATGCAATATGGAATGGTTCACAATTGGAAAAAAAAAAAGAAAAGAAAAAAGATGAAAGTATTACGAATTTAAAAGAATTTGGAAAATTTATGAACCATTCCAAAAATTATTACAATCACCAAAAGAGCTGTAATTCTGGCTTGTTCTGGAAAGAAAGAAAATGTGTGTGTAAGCTTGCTTGTAAGAGTTGAATGTGGATATGCATGTGTGTTTTATGTTGGGTTCATGTACATGAGAATGTCACTCAGTATGAAGCTGGGTTCAGAGTCACTGGCTGTTAAATATTCAGTAGAATAAATCCCTCAATAGAGTAATCTGGAGAATGAGAGAAAAGGGTGTTAAAGTGCTACTTGTAACTTTTGATGGCCCTATTTTTTTTGTTCCTGGATGGATCTTGGTATCCCACATATAAAGCACAATTTTACGAAAATAATAATTCTGATATTATCTTGAGGACATTAAGTTGAACAGGGAGAAGGAAAAGGACACTTAGAAGAGGAAACTTAAAGGTACATCAGATCTAGGTGTTAGCAGGTGGTGCGGTGGATCCCAAATGGCTGACTGCAGTTCAAGTCCCGGACCTGCCTGCATAAAAAAAACACTGGACGTGTGTGCCAGCTCAAAATCCCAAGAGGAGAATGGAGTAGAAGAGATTATGGCATGGCCATCCACCCAGGGGGTGTTTTCTCAGTTTCCCTCTCTCTGTGTCTTCAGCAAGTACATGCGCCCTATAGCAAAAGAAAAAAAAGTACATCAGTTCTAAATGTGAAGATTTGTAAAGAAAAACAGGAAAGGGCAGTGATCTTACACATGAAGGACTGAATAGTCATGGGAAGAATGGAAGTACATCACATAGTCTCCTGTTTTCTCATTAGAAAAAAAAATGCTTTTTGGGGGGCTAGTTTCTGCTATAGGATGTTCACCTGAGAGAGACAAAAAGAGTGAGAAATCGCCCCCTGGAGGAGATGGCCATGCCACAAGCCCTCTTCTCCAGTCGCCTATCGGGATTTGGGGAATGCACACACCCACACATCCGGCATGATTTTCAAGCCACCCGATCTGGGACTTCAGCTGCACAGCCAGCATGTGGGATCCAGTGCCTCAACTTCCACACCACCTGCTGGCCTCTAAAAATTTACTGTTTTCAAATTCCTCTTCAAATGACCACACATCATCTAGGAAGGGTAATTTCTTTGGATATATTTGTTAATTTATTATTATATGGGAAAACGCTAAAGAATGAGAGTAAATTTTGTTTTCATCCTTTTCAAATGTGAAGGAGCTTCAGAAAGTTCATGGAAAATGTATATTACACAAAAACTAGGGGTGGATTTCAAAAATTTTTGCACCAAAATAAGCACATAATTTAATTCACCTTTTCCTGTGATCTTTTTGGAGTTTTCTTTTTAACGATTAGAGAAATTTTGTTTGTGTTTCCTGAATTATGTAAATAGCAAGCTGGGTGTGACCATTTATAAAATATTTTTTAAATTTATTCTTTTTTTTTTTTTTTTGGAGAGGTTTTCACTATAGGGCGTGTGTGCTCACCAGACAGATAGAGACATAGAGACAGAAAGCGAGAAATCATCCCCCAGGGGTGATGGTCATGCCGCAGTCCCTTCTCCTTTCTCCTCTCGGGATCTTGGGCACACATGCACACGTGCCCGGCGTGAGTTTTTAAGCTACCGGGTCTTGGACGCGAACCACGGTCGACTACGTGGGAGTCCAGCGACATAGCCATTACGCTAACTGCTGGTCCCTCATTCATTCATTTTAATTTGACCAGAGAGAGACACAGGGAGTTAGGGAAAGTGAGAAAGCAAGCCACCAGGTCCAGGACTTGAACTATGGTTGGCCATGCGGGACTGTCCAGCGCTTAACCACTACTACTCCTGCTGGTTGCCCCATGGCCATTTGTTTTGAATATATCATAACTGAAGCTGTATATGTTTATCGGGGCAGGCATAATTCTGAACATAGTTATTTCTGATTAACAGTAACAAGTCAAACATTTTACTAAAGTGGAGCTCTCATTAACAAATTACTCGTTTTGTTTGATGCTTTTACTGATTTTGAGCTAAATCATGCTAAAGCCGAGGGTGGACTTTGAATAATGAGCCCCAGCATACTATCTTCTCTGGATCTAGTTATGTTAACAGTATACACAGATATGATTGGGCATGTCAGCATATGCAGTATTGGATGAAAGAGTCAGGGTTTCTTTAGACCAAGTGGGCCAACATCATCTGGCAGGGCAGACTTACTCATTTTCAATCTCAAAGGTCTCCTTATGGGGCCATCCAACTTAAATTAAAATAATAATAACAAGGACCAGCAAATGGCGGAAAGGTTACATCACTGGACTCCACAGTCAACTGCAGTTCAAGCCCCGGATCTGGCGCCTTAAAACTCATGCCAGGCACTTGTGCTTGCATGTTCAAGATCCTGAGAGGAGAATAGAGAAGGGATTGCAGCATGGCTATCCCCCCCAGGGTGTGATTTCTTGCTTTCTGTCTCTGTATAGCAAAAATCTCTTTTAAAAAAATCTGTTATTGCATGTGTTAGGGGTCACCTACCTAAATGCCTAGTTGTTTTTACTACCAAGAGATCTCCTTTCAACAGGATCATATATCATTTGTTTTATCTGTTTTTCAGTCGACCTTAGGTTTAACTAAACCATTTTAGCATTCTGAGATAGGCGATTTAATGCAGGTGAAATTAAGATCAGAACAGTGCTTGATGATTTACAAGGTATTTGTAGTTTGCATCAAAGACTTGTGCAAACAGTTTTTTTGTGATGGTGGTAGTCATGGTGGACATTAAATAAGCACAATAAAGGCCCGTCCTATAGCCTAGAGGTTAAATGGTCTGGACCCTGCAGAGCTGACTGCAGGTTGAATCTTGACCCTGGCAGCTTGAAAACATGCCTGGCACATATGCATGTGTGCCCAAAATCTGACAAGATCAAAAAATGGAGGAGATGGGATGGCAGCATGATTACACTTCATTGTGGGGTGCTTTCTCCCTCTATCTGACAAGTGCACATGTCCTCTGGCAATTAAAAATAAGCATGACAATTCAATAAATAAAAATAAAACTAGCAGCAATGTTTATCCTTCCCCTTATTAAAGAGCAAGGAAAGAAGGCTTTAATAGCCTGTTAGCTCATTTTGAATGAAAATAAACCTGTGTTCCTTACAGCACTTAGGTTTCCGAAGTACTTAATTTTGATATAGGGATCCATTAGTTCTTAAAATCATATTTAAGGGCTATGGTTTAGTACTTGATTGTTCAAAATTGTTACTTTTTTTTGGAGAGGTTTTTGATACAGGGCACGTGCGCTCACCAGAAAGACAGAAAGCGAAAAATCACCACCACCCCCCAGGGGGGATGGCCACGCCGCAATCCCATCTCCTCCATTCTCCTCTCAGGATCTTGGGCACGCACACACACGTGCCCAGTGTGAGTTTAACCTACTGGATCCGGGACTTGAACTGTGATCAACTACATAGCAGTTCAGTGACATAGCCATTAATGCCATCTGCTGGTCCTAAAAATTGTTACTTTTTAAAAATTCAGTTCTTTGTTGGAGAGTAGGGGTAGAACAAGCCTTTTAATCACTTAGCCATGCTTCTGTTGATTAAGTTCTTAATACTATTTTGTAAAAACCTTATAAAGGCGAATGTCCTATGGATAGTTTTCTAAAGTCCATGTAATTTCATTTCTTCTTAGTTTTCCCCAGATAGCTATTATTGAGAGAGATTGACGTGCTTCTCCTAGTTTTAAAAAAAAAATGCTACAAGGTGCCTGAGCTTGCCAGAGAGAGAGAGGGAAAGTGAGAAAGCATCCTCAAGGGGGATGACTACACCATATCCCTTTTCCATTCTCCTCTTGGGATTTGTGGGCATGTACATGTTTTTTAAGCTGCTGGGTCTGGGACTCAAACTGTGCTGTCAGCCATGTGGCATCCAGCTGTCTTAACTACCATGCCATCTGGCTGGCCCTTTTTCCCAATTTTAAGTTAGATAGTAAAGGCTAACACAGACCTTAGCAAATTAAAGTTATTTCTGTGTGAGGATTTGACTTCAGTATGGAGGTGCTCACATGTTGATTTTGAGTTCTTAGTCCAAATGCTGCCTGTTTAAACATATTCCTACCTAAATGATTGAATTCTAATCTTGAACTACCCTCCAACAAAAGGCTTAGTTTTTTACTATAAAATTCAAGTTTTTTATATGCAGAGTCTGTAGGGTGCTCTAAAAGGCAGAATTTAGCCTTAGAGCAGTGACTGAACCTTTTTTTTAACAGCAGCTCACAGACGTTTTGTATTAACCCAATATACATACACACACACCAAACAAAAGTTTACAAAACAATGCTCGCTGTCCAGTATGAAACCGATATTTTTATTCTATTAGCTAAAAGTTTCATGTCAAGACCCACTATTTGTCTTTCAAAATTGCAGTTGAGAAAGCTAACCTACTGAGTTGCAGGGTAGATTGTATTTTTTTTTTAAAGAATTATTTAATATTTATTCGTTAATTTATTTTGACCAAAGAGACATGGGGTAGGGGGTAGTGAGAAAGCAAGCCACCAGATCTGGAACTCTCAACTGTGGTCAGCCATGTGGGAGTGTCCAGCGTCTTCACCACCACGCCAACTGCTGGCCCCAGATTTATTTTGAAATCACTGTCTTCCTCGGTATGACCTTGTCAATACTGTTAGGTTGTTGAGAAAACCATGATGTATTTCTCTATGGGAAAGTCATGACTTTAACAACAACCCAGTATTTTGAGTATAATATGATACACTTGTATCTTCTGTATGTACTTTGCTTGGAAAACTAGTCTGAGGTCTAAAGTTAATCTTTAGTCTAAAAGGTGAAAATAATGTATGAATCAGCTTCTTAACTATTATAATTACCTGATGTTCTCTCTTGAATATGAAGAGCATTTTATACTTTGCGATTTTTAAAACAGACAACTTCTGAGTGACTTTTAAAACTTGTTTGCAG